TTATAGCAGATGAAAGTGAAACTACTTTGGTAGTCCTCCAACCTACTTAGCCTTAGTTAACATGGGTTTTCATGTCAGCGCAGTAACAACAGCTGCTTTATTGAATAGGCCAGCCATTATCTTCCTTTTCAAGACTACAAAGTAGAGACGAATTCCAATTAAGTATGTGTTCTGACACAACATAAGGGACGAGGGAGAGGAACACCCCGGATAATTGGGTTAATTGCAAAAAGCATGCAATTAGCTCTAACTGAAGTAACTACAGCTGTATTCAGATTCACTGCAGAGAGTAGATAGAGTAGCCTATGTTTAACAATGTCTTCTACAAATTGGAAGCAATATATGTGCAACAAAAATCATTTATAAAGGTCTATCAAATGTCATGTTTTGGGCAGATAATGATATGTGATTTAATTAAACATTGGTCCGACGGCAACGTCGTGTCCCTGGCCAAAAATAGTCGCGGTAGGACGACATAGGCTAAATCGGTAAAAATATGTAACACAGAACATTTCCTAAAAATGCATTCAGATACGTTTGTGCAACTCTACAGTTGTCTGGTGTTGCATATATAATTGTTACCTTGACTTTTTTAGCTAAGTGTAGTACAATATGTATACCCTGTTGTGAATCAGTTGTGAGAGGACGTCGTCCACTAACGTCCTTTACACGTGCATTTATAGTCCATCACGACCCTCTATGAAATTCCTATGAAATATGCAAAAGCAATTGTGCTTACACCTTTGTTAATACTCCAATCATTAAATTAAGTGCCCTAAGTCATTTTTAAGAGGTTGTGGGTAGCCTAACGTCCACTGACGTCCTTTACACGTCTATAGTCGACCAAGACCAATTGTAAAAAATCAATAAATCTTTATGAAATACACAATCATTTATTGTTTGTCATTTCTCCGATCACAAATGCAGACATGGTTTTATGTTTACGCGGCGCGATGCAACGCAACGGTAAAAAGACAGTATAAATCATTATAATCCATAATTATGTCCCCACTGGATGCAACAAATGCCTTGTTTATAATGGGTTTTAATGTTTTTGTCTCGTCGCTCCAGCCGGACAGGGCATCACAATAGGGTAAGGGGCTTAACATCTCCATCACACGCTTGAGGTATTCGGCCAATCACAACGCACTGGATAGCTGGCCAATCACAGCACACCTCGCTTTTCAGACCGATGAGCTTTGTAAAAATCGACGCGTTTCAGAAAGGCGGGGCATAGAGGAGAAACAATAATGTACAGTATGTGGAAAATAATGTGTTTTTGAACCTTAAACCGCATAAAAACATTTCATTACACCAAATACACAGAATAATGTTCTTTTAAGCAACATCATATGACCCCTTTAAATCCTCGGGGCTCCAGACGCAAGGGAATAAAAATGGAGCCACAGGTAGGCTGCTATCAAGAATCCAAGACATTAGACCTCTGCTGTGTCCCAATTTGCATATCTGCCCCAAATAGTAAGATCAGGATGTTTCTGTCTCAAACATAGAATTTTGAAAACAGTATTCCACCAACTTGCACCTATAAAACAAATGCTAGCTTTATCATTTTCTGAGCATCAGACAGACTGTCGGATGTCAGATATCAAATATGAAAATCCCACATCTGGACTGAATGGAATGTAACATTTCTAGTTACTGACACATAAGTAGCCTATTTTTCTATCAGCAGCGTAATAGCCTACATATTTATTATTTCAACTAGTTTAGTTGCTTGTAGCATAAGAAACTGAGCAGAGTTAAAAAATTTCACTAGGCTACCTATATTTACATTTACATTTACATTTACATTTAGTCATTTTGCAGACGCTTTTATCCAAAGCGACTTACAATTGGGGGATACATAAAGCGATTCTTCTTAAAGAGGCAAACAGATACAGGAAGTGCTTGTAATACCAAGTTTCTAGACATTGTTCAAATAAGTACAAGCTAGAAAGAGAAGGAATAAGTAAAGAGATAGATTTTTTTTTTTTTTTATGGTGAAGTCAAGTTCGAAAGAGATGAGTTTTCAGCTGTCGCTTGAAAATTGTCAGGGATTCAGCATTCCGGATAGGGGTGGGAAGATCACTCCACCAGCCAGGAATGGTGAACGACAATGTTCTGGAAAGTGTTATTTCAGTCATTCTTGAGACGTGGGACAAAACAGGTCCAGCAAGGGTAACTGCAATTAGCTTTAAAAAATAAAAATATTTTCCATTTTAAATGTCATGAGGGATTAATAATAGAACGTATTTAACACAATTATCACCTTCAATTTAATTTTCTCATTATTATACAAAATCTGTGTCCTCTCACTACGTCTAAAACAGTGTGTTCACAGAGAAGGGTTCAATCATTCATATGCAATAAAATGGATCAAATAATTTTTTTTAATGATGAAAAATAGCTTGTTTTATCAAAATCAACACTTAATAATATCTCCTATCAAAGCAAGGTTGTTTTTTAATGACACGTGCATGTTTCATAAGATTTTAAAGTTGCGTCCCCACTTTTTGTCAACACCGTCAGACATTCAATAAAATGTAATAAAATCAGGGGCATCTGTCACTCTAAAGGATCCCCTTGCCACAGTTCACCTCTGCAGAGGACATCAGTGTCAGACAGGCTCTGCTAAGTTTCATAGTTTTAGAATATTTTAAATCCTAATGTTAATATTTCCTTTGTCACAGCCATGATATGTCAACACCATCTTTCATTTGTCTGAGTACAAGGTTTTATTTTTTCAATTTTGCACCGTTTTGTCCCACTTCTCAAGAATGACTGATTTATTTTTAACTTTTTTTTATATTTATATTTAACAATATAAAACTCACTTGCATATTTTCTATCCACATTTGATGAGCGAAAAAATTTTCCATAAATTCACATGAAATTTTTTAAACAACTGTTCACTACAAAACGTGATAGGCACAAGATCACAGCATTTGAGGCTATTACGTTACAAATTTGCATAAATTTGGCGCCCTCTAGACAAGCAGTGATGCTGAATATGTGGAAGAAGCTCAGTGATTCTCACTGATTTCACAGCCGATAATGATTTTTATGAAGCGCATTATTATTCAGTCAGTAGCCTACATGTATAGCGAACATAACCTGGCCTGTATTGTGTATACTGATGCTGCTTCATCAACGAATGCTGCGTTTTGTACATTTGGTTATAGTGAGCAAAGCGCATTGTTGTTGTTTATTCATACACCTATATTTTCGTTTTTGTGTGATAACATTGTTAAAATATTTAAGTAATTTAATAGTATAGCAATGAGTCGTTCGTATATTCGTTTTATTTATTTATTTACTGTTGTTTTTTGCTGTACAGTTCGCGACGGAACATCTGGAGAAAGCTCAACTGCATCAGTCTTTCACAGGCTATTAGGCTGAACCCTTGAGAATACTAATATAAACACTGAAGCGTTCAGCGGGCTCTTTCACGGAGTTGCCAAATATTGATATTTTGACACCTGGATCTTAAATCTGTGGCTTTTTGAAAGGCTATTTTTTTCTTGGTTGTCCTATTCAGATTTGCACGTCTGTCAAACCATCACTCTTGGAGATTTGTCAGTCACACTTGACTGATTTTAGATTTACTCTAGAAAGACGTGTCTGTTTTTTGTTTTGAACTGTTCATATATTATTTCAAATCTGTTGCAAATGTATGAACAAGGACGAGTACCAGTTTATATTTGCTGTGCAAATACTGCCACCTGTCGGAAGCCTGCCCTAATAAATCAATGAGCCACGAGAGGTCGTGATTTCACGACTGTTCTATTTTGCACGAATGAAAAACACCAATGATCAAAGGTACATTTAAGTAGAATAATGAGCAGCAGCATAAAATTAGTCGAGTACTATAGTTCATTAGCATAAATTCAGGATGGGTACGATTGGGAAGCAACGCAGCAGTGCTGTTTAATTTAACGTTAGAAGTCAGCTAACGTGCGGTCGCAATTGTGCTTATTTGATTGTTTAACAGCTGATTTATTAGCAAAATAATGTTTGTGGCCCACAGTCGGCCTACTTGAGTTAAGTTTTATTTTAATGACCCATCATAAATTTCCCAAATTTTCCCCCTCAGGTTTTAGAACTGGAAACCGAGCAGATGTATTTAGCACTATTTATAATAGTAAATGTAAACTTTATGGGTAAGTCTCGATGTTGCTGCATTATTAGTCAGTGGACATACGAGTATTTACTCCAGATAGAATGAAACCAGATCAGCCACTCTACATGGCAAGACCACTTAACAGCAACCTCCTATTACCAGCAGGCGGCACTTGTTAGCTATGAAAAGCAATGGTATCATGATCATCAACATGTAAAATCAATGTTTTGATTTTAAGGCTCTTTTTTTTTGCGCTACAGTATGCATGTAAAAGTAGTTTAACTGCTGCTAAAGATAAAAAATTCTTCTTAAAAGGTATACAAATTTTGAAACATTGAGAATTTCACCAAAAAAGAAAACAACAGGAAATCTTGTCAACTTGGAAATGTGCTTGACATTTATAAAGACAATAAAATAACGTATTCTGAGTATGGTACATATACAAAGTTGAAGGCACCTTGACTTAGCCAAACATTAACAGTTCTGCCGTGGACTTGTTCAAAGACAAACAAAACAAATGCTGAACACAGAGGCTTGAACCCTTGTATTTAGAAATCTATTAACTATACAATCTTTATTCATCAAGAACAGAAAGCTAATAAGACAATAGTGGTGTTGTGATGCCTAAAATATATTATTTCATATATCTATATATGAAACTCCTAAATTTGCTTTTGTCATCTAAAATAGTTTTTCTCAACTGCGAGTACACTGTGCATTGTTGATCTATCTGAAATAGCAAATGTGTGCAGTCAACTCTTATATAAATGTGATTGATTGTTTATTATACAAACACTTATTTATATACTCAATAAATTATATTCTTTTATTTCAACAAACTATTTAATGTACTACATATTCGTAGATTTGAGAAGTGTGGCTTTTTCTTCAGATTGAGACTTTGATTGTCATAATATTGCTGAGTATGTCAACTTGTGTATTTGTGTAACAGTCTTAAAAAATAAAGAAAGAGGGAGTTACTTAATATTACTTGGGAGCTCAGTATTTTCTATAGACAAAAATGTTAGGTCTTATTGACTCGTAGATGTGGTATTCATGTTACTGCACATTTAAGGAAGCATATGCAACACTTACTGCTGTAAAACGTAAGTTTTGGCCACTCGGATCATCAAAGCAAATACTTCAAGTTAAAACGCTGCTGGATTTCTGCCAGCGGAGAGTTACGCTTTTCGCTCCAGACGCAGAATCACATCATCAAGTTGCAGATGGAAGATCTTAGTGAAGGACACGTTGAGTGGATCATGGTCAGACAAAATATCTCAGCTCTGCTGATAGACTGCTATCAAAAGTCACCATAAGAGTCACCACAGGAACTGATGTGTCTGTTGAGCAATAGCTGCATTTATACATGGCACCCTGCTGCATCGTTTTTCATGCAAAATAAGGAGAAAAATTATTCCAACCTTCTCTACCTCATTTACTCACATAATACACACCCTGAGATACTCATTCATCCTTAGAGGAGGAGTGTATTAGCCCAATGTGCAGTGATTCCCCCTTAAATGATCCCTCTGAGAGGAGCAGCAAGCCATGTTGGGACATGAGTGGTAATCTGAAGCAACTCATAGTGTTTGGTATAGTGCATCACTGCTGCAGCGGGTGGAAAGGGGATGAGGTCATTTATTAAGAGTGATGGTAGCGTAAGAAGTTGGGATATAGCCCTCGTCCCCGTTGTTCCGGCGCACTCGTGTCCATCCGTCTCCCTTATCCTCCTCCACTACAGACAGCACCTCCCCTTCCTGCATGGAGATGGTTCCCTCACTGGAGCCTGTGGGCAGATGGAGGAGTCTCAGAGGAAAAGAGGTGGGTATGATATTCACAAATGCTCAGGCAAAACTGTATAATAATCATACCTGGGAAATTGTAGAGTGCTGTGCATTGACCAATAGGTGCAGCGAGTTCCTCTTCCTCAAAGTCGTCATCAAATTCAGTGTAGATGGCCTGGGAAGAGTCTGTGTCATCTGAGATAGTTCCAGGACTGAAAAGAGCACAGGAAAATTCTGATTATGTAAACATAATTCAATCGGCATAACTGGATTCAAGCAATACAATGTCTAGAAACCTGAACATGACAGCTTGTATGTAATGTGAATTCTATATTTATATCTGTGCATATCCACATTACCAAGTAAATGCATAAACATTTAAGGGGTCAAACCATGAAGAATAAAATGTTCTTTTATCTTTTGAGGAAAAAAAAAAAAAAGAACAAACTAAAAGAAAAAAAAACTTCACAAATCACTTTAGACTGTAAATGTAACAAATATATAGATTTTTTAATATGCATAAAATCACTGACCTATGTAAAAAAAAGAAATCCATAATAATTCCAACATTAAAAAATTACTGCAGACTGGATAATCATTATCAGTTTGCACTGGCTGCTGATAGCTGCTCACATCAAATTCAAGGTACTGATGTTTGCCTACCAGACATCCACTGGCTCTGCACTAATATACCTAAACTCGCTAGTTCAGACTTATGCGCTGTCCAGGAGCTTACGTTCTGCAAGTGAACGCCACCTCGTGGTGCTATCCCAGGCACAAAATCATTCCTGGACTGTTCCCGGCTGGTGGAACAACCTGCCTATCTCAACCAAGTAAAGCAGCCAAGTCTTTAGCCATTTTCAACAAATCTTTTTCATCAGCACATTACCAACTGATACTAGCACTTACCTATTCTTATTTGAATTTTTTTAAAGATTTATTTTTGCCATTTTTGCCTTTATTATGTTAGGACAGATCAGAAATGACAGGAAGAGAAGTGGGAGAGAGATGGGGGGCAGGATCGGGAAATGTCCTTGAGTCAAGATTTGAACTTAGGACGCCCATAGCGCAAGGGCGCTGACTCTACTCTACTATACTCTACTCTACTCTACTCTACTCTACTCTACTCTACTCTACTCTACTCTACTCTACTCTACTCTACTCTACTCGTTTTTCTAATTTATTAAAAAAACAGCTGTGTACTGTGCTAGACTAACTGAGACTTGTCAAAGCACTTGTATACTGTTGCCCTCTTGTTAGTCTACTTGCTTCTATTGTTCTCCTCATTTGTAATTCGCTTTGGATAAAATCGTCTGCTAAATGATTAAATGTAAATGGATACAAGGTCTTATGCAAATCCCCCCCCCCTCTTGTAATATCAAGAGACTCATGACCTACATTTTGCAATTCACTGCACTCTTGTGTGCTGTTCTTAAATACACAAATGAAATTAGTTGATTAAATTGCTGTGTAGAATTACCACCAATAGTGAATAAAATGGTTGTCTATGGTATTTACACAAGAGAGTAGTAGGAAAACAACATGCAAGTCTTAGTTATTGGAAACATGCTGATAACTTGTATATAAGAAAAAATGTCATTAGCTGTGAAGCATGTAAACCTCTTATTCAGAATAAGATTAATCAGAATACACACCATAATCAGAAAATCATGTTCGTTGAAATAAAACTGACCTGCTGGGGTTATGAGCACCGTTATTGTTCAGAGAGTGTGTCGAGTATCGTATCGAGTCTCCTCGGCCCCCTGCTTCTGCGAGCCAGGACTACCAAACAAACCAAGACACCAGTGTGTTAAGAAAAGTCTTTATGAAGCGTATAAAGATTTACAGAGAGAATTAAACTGAAACCTCATATTTGCTGAGTTCTCCTCTCAGTCTTTCCATGTTTTGTGCCGTCTGAGTGATCTGAGGTGCCAAACTGGCAGGATCTCCCATCTGAGGGTTCTTTTCATAGACATCTTTCATTTTACCCAAAGCCTCACTGCACAGAGACATAAATATATTTATTTAAGATAGCAAGAGCTATCTTGATCATAACAGAGAAAGACAAAGAACAAACAGATACGGTTACTTGTGGCACTTAACACCACTGATTCCTCAGAGACCTGACGAGCTTAGTAAACAAAGCCCAGACCTCGGCAACCCTGTGGATTCAGCTGTGGCCGGTGGTCATGGCGATAGTTGTCGGAGAGTTGGCATGGCAGGTGACTCACCTCTGATCCATTTCCTTCTGCAGCTCCTTGCTGATGTCATCGATCTTCTGCTGCAAGCGTTTCCTGCGCTGCTCAGGAGGAAGATGGGTGAAGCCCTCTGTGTCCACAGGCTGAGGAGATGGGCAGGGAGATAGTGTCACTCACAGAGATTCACACAAACAAACAAACAGCCACCCCTCCAACACCACAAGCCAAGCAGTGACAGGCGTGAACCAGAGACCCCACAGTGAGACTTCAGGTTTGCAGAAGGAAAAGCTGAACTGTAGCTGTAGTTTACTCAAAGGAACGGTCTGGGTTAAATAAAATTGCACTTTTTGAACACCATCTGTGGCATGTTGTCGATTACCACAGACAGTCATTTTTTTAAATGGATCTATTTTGAAGAAGGAATGCGAAGCTAATATTTGTTACATGGAATATTCAGTCAAATGTTTTATATTTGCACAAGTCAAAAAAAATCCTTTCAGATTAGGACTACTGTTCTAGGGGTATGAAGTTCTGGTTATGCTCTATTATTGTAACAGACACTTCGCAGGGAGTTTGATTGACAGGCAATCGGACCGATCTTAATGCCGAACCTGCCATTTTTGTCTGACAGGAGATTAGATTAACGTCTGTGGACTTGAATTTGAAAAATCGTGTGTATTGACGTCTTTCTGCGGTTGAAACAAGATACCTTCTGATGTTCATTCATGTTTATTTCATGCTATAACTAGTAAATATAAAAAGATGATCGGTTCACGTGCCGCTTGAACTGAGGCGCTACAGCGATCTGTCACGACACATTAAAGAGCCACAAAATGGTATTTGTTGTTTAAATTTCTTTATACCTTTCTTTATATAAATTTGTTTCATACCAGAAGTAACCTGCTCTGTCTTGTCTGTCAGTGCGTTGTCAGTTTTCTCACTGTGTGAGAACATTGCATGAGAGCGGCATGGCTTGTTGGACATAGGAACAGTAACGAAGTGGAGTGGGTCTTTGTGAGGGGGTCCCGGCCAAACTGGGGGGAGGGGGGTCCGTTAGCGGGCGAGGGGGTGGGGGGTGTGGAGAAAGGACTGAGTGAAGACGAGGGCAGCTGGGACAGACACCAGGCACAAACCCAGAGGGACACAGGGACAGAACAGCAGGAGAGGGATGGTGGGAAGGATAGGGAAGGGTAAAAACAAACAAAAAACACAAATGACATGGGAAAAGAAAGAGACACCATCAAACACCTCAAAGCAACATCAAAACAGCAACGAGAACAACACTGGACCAACCTCAGCAAGAGCCAAGAGAAGCAAGACAAAGAATAACCAAACCCAAATCCACAAGCCCCAACAACCAGATGAAGAAGCAAACAATGTCTCCATCAGAAAACAATTCTTGGTCTTGTTCAATGGATCATGTGGCTTTCAAGTGATGTTGGAATGATCGTGAAGATGAGATGAATGTACATGAATGGCACCACAAAACTTTTCAAGTTAAGGTAATGCCAATTACACTACCATGGTGATGCTAATTGATATGTGTCATAATTAAGTTTGTAAAAACTTTGTGTACCGTTGATGAATACCAGTTATAAAGCTTTCCAGAAAAAATTGAGGTGGCAGGATTGCGTGGTGGACAACCCATCGTTACTGAAACTACCCAAAAAATTCCCAACAGTCTCATGGCAGCACAAAAATGATAAATTAAGGCATAAATTACATGCCTATTGGGAATCCACTGATCTTCATCTCATTGTGCTAGTGGTACAAAGTTTCCTGTGTTTGTCAGAAAAAAATTACAGAGAAATTACGCCAAAATATCCACTTAATTCAACCAAAAATCACTTGAACGCATATCATATTGAATTAACAATAGCCAAACTTACAAGAAATTCCCAAGAGAATTTGTGCTGTTCACAGAGTAAGAATCGTCAGATGTAAACAATCTCCAAAACAGAGCTGCTATTACGTTTTATTCCCCACCCCATTATGGATCTAATAAGTGGAGCCACTTTTTGCCCAATCAACATTCAGAGGCTTCTGCTGGACTATAGCAACAGAAATGCCTGAACATGAAAGGAGTCCTAATATTTCAGTGAATTCGCTATGCATACTAGCTCTGTTCCAGAACCAAGCAAGCTGTCTACAGAGACAACCTTACAGCTGAATCAACAGTTAGCATTAGCTAAATTACTAGTTATTCTAATAAGCACAAAGAGTATTCGAAGAATACAAATAACTAATGCTCACAGCTTCATATAAAGAATCTGTCATTAGCTGGTTGCTAAGCTAAAAACTTCCTATCCTAACACAAAAAAAAAAACACTACACTAATACTGGATGAAATCATGCATTAATTAGATGGAATTATCTATTTTTAAATATATATACACATTTCATTCTGGGATTATTGTTGTAGAATAAATGTGATGCTGCTTTCAATCATGACCAAAATGACACATCTTACATGGCAGCATAATATTGTTCCCTACTGTATAAGATAGCTTTTACATTGGGAGTGCCTATGACACTGTAGGTGGGCAGCTTACTAAGTGGAACAGAGTAAATACATTTCACCCTGATACAAGAAAAAAAAAGCTTTAAATCTAAAATTGTGCCAAACAATCCACAAATGTATGGGTAAACGAATGAAAGCTTGGTGCTAAAAATAAGTATTTCCCCACAAATTGGTTTTAGCTTCTCAACATCGTGTCTCAGCCGGAAAGGAAACATGCACAGTGAGCAAAAAGTGAAGCAACAAGGAACGAAGGAAGATGTTTGATCTTAACTACTAAGAGTAGGGGAAAAAGGAAGCAGATTTGCAGCGCCACTTTGGTCAATACAACAGAAACTCCATATTAACTAACACGCAAGACAAAAAAATAGATCTGTACAATGACACAGAAATTAAACAGAAGAAGACTAGACAGTTAAGCTGGCAAGCGCTGAGGCTCATGTGAAAAAGGCCTAATGTGTTGAAGAAGCAGGAAACTAGATTATTGGAGAAGCAGGAAATTATGTTATTAATATGAAGGTGAATTGTTTCCAGAAAACACTTCAGACCTACATAGGCCTCTAGGACAAAGACAGATCCATTGAATCCTACACAGAGCTCTGAATCATCACATGACTGAAGAGAATGTTTTAGTAATGCTTTGTCTCCAACCCTCATTTTAAGAGGATTTTTCTCCTTAACAACTTAACCAGATGCAACCGAGCATCTATCCTGATGGCACACAGTGCACAAAGGTGTCATTGTGATGGGACTGAGGGATATATTATACCGCATATAATAGCAGTAGTGTATGCGTGTTAAGGCCCATGGCAGAGGGAGAAATGTCCCAAAGAAAAGCACAGATGCAGCAGAATGACCACTTGGTCACACGCTGAGCTAAACAACAGAGCTGGGGGCTTTTCCATCCCCACTCACAGCCAAGTAGCCATGCAAAGGGTGCATACTGGAAAACCGTAAGGATCTGTGTTGTGTACGTCAGAGAGATTGAGAGTAAAGGGTGAGAAAGGGTGAAGGTGGATTGAACCATCATGCATCTTTCAACTGTGACAAAAGGTGCAAGAAACCACAGCTTTGGATCTAACACCATTTCTAGTCGCAAAGACTTGCCCACAAATCAAACAATGTCTTGTCCTCAAATCTTCTCAAAGCCAGTCTGTTACCTTTTAGACTAAATCTACTCTCTCATCTTATAGTGCAGAAGTGTCCAATCCTGCTCCTGAAAGGCCACCTTCCTGTAGACATGAGCTTTATTGAACCAATTATTCAAGGTTACTAGAATCTTCAAGAAAAGCGTGTTGGAGCTAAACTTGGGATGGTGGTCCTACAGGAGCAGGATTGGACACCACTTCAGTGATAGGTACTGTAGAACCCTGCTGGAAAATCACATAAAAAAACATATTCTAAGGATCTGATGGCTGGGTTTAAAATGGGTTCTAGCTGGTAAAATAATGGTCATGGCTCATTTAGGTCAGGGGTGTCCAATCGTGCTCCTGGGGGGCTGGAGTTTAGCTCCAGCCCCAATTAAACACACTTGATCCAGCTAATCAATAGGGCTGTGCGATATTGAAAAAAAATGCGCTACGCGATACCTTGTTAAAAAATGCGATATTCGATATGCGATACGATATTGCTTAAAGTGAGAAAAATCAATTTAAATTATATTTTAAAATATTAAAAAATTTAAATTATATAACCAATTAGTTTCACATTCTTTCTTGGAAAAGAAAGAATCACTACAACTTCTGAAAGTGACCAGCAGTGTTTTAGCAGTACATAAAAAGTAATGTCACAAATCAGAAAATGTCATTTTAACATCAATGTGAATGACAAAAAAATGAATGACACTAATTTTATATCATTGTGACTTTGCTTTCCATACACTTTAAGTAAGTACTTCTTCATATACCACAGCAAAAACTATAGTCTGAGAAAGTTCAAACATGATTAAAGGCAAGTGAACAGTCAG